CGGCCTCTCTGGCTGAAAATCTGCTACGCGTGACCAGATTCGGGGTCACGTTGCCGCATCCACGAGTAAACCATAAGGCGTGTACCTGCAGGGACATGGAAGCCGGCTACGATGCAGTCTTCCATGGCTTCCCTTTGTACAGAAAGTGGCAGTACAGGGCAACGACGCAGTGTTTCCTTGACTACAGCTTGTAAGTAGGATAAGCTCTTTATGTCCGATTCTTCCACTTGGTGGTGCTTGCCAACTTGGACATCCAGCTAATCTTGGGCCCTTTTTAGCTAGTGGTGGTTGTTTAGGAGAAGGGACAGTGCCCATGTAAGAGTCAACACTGTGGAGTCATTGCCTCCCAAGATCACACTCTGCAATATAAATGGGTGAGTATCATTTCCCACTGGTTAGTTTTGTGCTCTTCCGTAGTAAATTAAACAGATTTGGGTAAGAGTCCGAAAGTTTGTAAAATGAGGAATATAATGATCTTCAAATATTTAAGCATTGCAATGTTTTGTTATTCTTCCTTTTCTTTTCGATAAGAGCATTGAAATGTTTTATGCTGATATAACATTGTATGGGCAATATATTGCCACTTGGAGATATTCAAGAAGTCTAAATGATAAGTTATTTTGGAAATTATTGACCGAGGAGCTCTCTTTTTTTCTCGATTTGTTCCTTCGGAATGACATCACAAGAGTGTAATGATTAATTTATATGTCTACAATGGCATAGATATATTGCAGGAATGGATTGCGACCCTTCAAAGCATGGATTTTCTCAAGTGGCTAGACTTTGCTCGTCGTGTGGGAGGTTATAACATGGAGTCGTGTTTAAATTTTCTTATAAAGGGATTTTCGCAATCACATACTTCGATTTTTTCATTAACTCGTTCTTTTGACTGAAAACTAGGAGTCCGAACTCGGACCCATACGGCTAGCAGTCTTAAAGACTAAAAAGATAAAGAAAAACTGATCAAGAAGTTTTTGCAGTGAAAAGTAAAATAGGTGTACCAAGCAAAGTGGCCTTGATAATAGTTTCAGCCTCTTGAACAGAGTAATTCCCATCTTCCAATTCCATAGTAGAGACGCAAGTTGCAAGAACTGAAGAACGGAATAAAAAAGCAGTCCAACATTTGTTTTCAACTGATAACACAACAACAACAAAATTAAAGTCCCGAATCAGATTGGGTGCCACGAGCTGGGGTTTTCAGGTTCTTGCGCCTCTTGCTATGTGAATTTTTAGTGATACGACAGGTGACGCTTGTTAGAAATTAAACCAAATTCATGAATGTCGAGACTATCGATGAGTTGTCAAGTTGAGGTTGAAGTTGTCGAGCGATTACCTTGATGTCGATAATGACGATGACTGTTCAGTACATGAGTCTTTATTATATTGTTGCTTTCCAAGCGTCTCTTCGTGTCTCGATATCTAGTTAATGTTTTGAGAGTTCCCAGGAGTCTATCTTATTGCGATGTTGGTCTTATTTATGAGTCATTTAAGAGTTTGTTCAATAGTCATGTAGCTAGTCTATATAAAGGTATGTGTTGTAATTACGTTGATAATGGGAGACAAGGTGAAAGAAATCAAAGTAGAAGTCTATTGATCTCCTCTTCCTTGTGTGTCTTGAGTAGAGAATATCTTCACCTTCAAATTATCTCCTATCAAATTGGTATCAGAGCTTACGGTTTGTGATCATGGCCTCAACAAACAATCAGCTTCCTCTACAATACCCTCGTCTTACCAAAGAAAATTATGGTAATTGGGATGCCAGAATGAAAGCCTTACTCGACGCCTATGGTGTGTGGGAAGTTGTCAACACTGGCTATGATGAGCCAGAGGACGACGCCGCGTTGAATCAAAACCAGAGGAATGCCTTGGAGAAAGTTCGAGCAAAAGATCAATATGCCCTATCAATCATCTATCAAGCTTTAGATGGTTTGATGTTCGAGAAGGTGTTGAATGCTTCTACTTCGAAGAAAGCATGGGAGATTCTTTGCAACACACACCAAGGAGTTGAAAAAGTTCAGAAGATTCGCCTTCAAACTTTGAGAGGTAAATTCGAGGCAATCCGTATGAAAGAATTTGAATTGATTGCCGATTATTTCACAAGAGTATTGACAATTGTCAACCAAATGAAAAGAAATGGAGAAGATGTTGAAGATGTTCGTGTTGTCGAGAAGATTCTTCGATCCTTAGACAAAAAGTACGACTATATTGACGTTGCAATTGAAGAGTCCAAAGACCTTGATGCCATGACGATCGATGAGCTCATGGGTTCTTTGCAAGCCCATGAAGAAAGATTTAAAAGAAACAAGAATGAGCCAGTGGAGGAAGTACTCCAAACTCGGTTGACCATCCGAGATGATAAGGAGCAAAGTAGAGATCCCGTGAAAACTCGTGGGACTCATCAAGATCGAGGTCAAGGGCGAGGTCGCTTTCAAGGAAGAGGTCGTGGACGAAGCAATGGAGATATTGCTCGACATGACGGAAGATACCAAAATAAAAAAGGTGCTCATGGGAGAGGACAGAACTCGAGAGGGCAATTGTATGATACATCTAAAATTCGATGTTATCATTGCAATAAACTTGGCCATTATGCTTTTAACTGTTGGAACAAAGAGAGTAGCGGAGCAAACGATAAGACGAGCTTGGTAAATGATGCCAATCAAGTTCTTTTATTGGCATTCAAAGAATATGAAGAAAGAAAAAATGATACGTGGTACTTGGATACTAGTGCAAGCAACCACATGTGTGGAAGAAAGGAGATGTTTGCCGAATTGGATGAGACAATCAAAGGGAAAGTCTCGTTCGGTGATGATTCTAAAATTCTCGTTGAAGGCAAAGGTACAATTTTGATTTGTCTGAAGAATGGTGCACATCAGTTTATTTCTAATGTTTATTATGTTTCAAATATGTCAAGTAATATTTTGAGTTTGGGACAACTTCTTGAGAAAGGTTATACTATCCACATGAAAGATCTTAGCCTTATGCTAAGAGACCCAAATAATAAACTGATTGCAAATGTGAAGATGTCAAAGAATCGGATGTTTCTTCTCAATATAAAAAGTGAAATGGCTCGATGTTTAAAGGCATGCGTAGATGATCCTTCATGGCTGTGGCATTTGAGGTTTGATCATCTCAATTTTGGCGGACTCAATTTGCTTTCTCGAAGAAAGATGGTTTATGGCTTACCACGTATTGATCATCCTGATTAATTATGTGAAGGGTGCGTAATTGGCAAGCATTCCAAAACAAGCTTTCCAAGGGAAGCAACTTATCGAGCAAAGAAGCCACTTGAGTTGATTCAATCTAATGTGTGTGGCCCAATCACTCCTCAAACATATGGTAATCGCCGATACTTTGTTACATTAATTGATGATTTTACTTGAAAAAACTGGGTGTATTTCTTGAAGGAGAAATCGGAAGTGTTTGATACGTTCAAACAATTCAAGAGGTTAGTTGAAAAAGAGAGTGACGATTTCATCAAAGCCATGAGAACCGATCGTGGAGGAGAATTCATTTCCGCCACATTTAACAAATTCTGTGAAGATCATGGAATTCAACGTTTCTTGGCGACTCCATATTCTCCACAACAAAATGGCATGGCTGAACGGAAAAATAGAACCATTCTCGACATGGTTCGAAGCATGTTGAAAAGCAAGAATTTGCCCAAAGAGCTTTAGGGTGAAGCTGTTATGTGTGCTGTCTATCTTCAAAATAGATGTCCCACAAATGGACTTGAAGGTGTAACTCCACAAGAGGCATGGAGCGGGAGAACACCAAGTGTTTCTCACTTGAAAATTTTTGGGAGCATTGCCTATGCTCATATCCTGGACCAAAGAAGATCGAAGTTAGAAGACAAGAGCAAAAAGCTCATTTTCATTGGGAATGATACCTCATCCAAAGCTTATCGATTATTTGATCTTAACACTTTGAAAGTATATATAAGCAGAGATGTCAAGTTTGATGAAGAAGGCATATGACAAGACAATCCTGAAGACGAAACAAATGCTCGTGATAATTCAAGACAAATGGAGTTGAAGGATCTCTCTTCACTCTCTTCTCCGATATCTTCTTGAAGTTCATCACCACCAACCTCTTTAACTGGTGTCGATGAACCGTTAGTGCCGAGATCGAGGAGATTGTTTGAAATTTATGAAGCTACCGATGAGCTTCACCTTGCATGCCTTTTTGCAGATTTTGCACCGCTTGTCTATGATGATGCTGCCAAAGAAGAAAAATGGAGAAAAGCCATGAATGAAGAAATTGAAGCCATCAAGAAGAATCAAACATGGGAACTTGCGGTTCTTCCGAAGGACAAGAAATCGATCGGTGTGAAATGGGTGTATAAAGCCAAGAAAAACGAGAAAGGAGAAGTGATAAGGTATAAGGCCATGTTAGTTGCGAAGAGATACAAGCAAAAGGCTGGAATCGACTATGATGAGGTTTTTGCCCCTGTTATTCGCATGGAAACGATTAGATTAATAATTTCTATTGCATCTCAAAATCATTGGCAAATCTATCAAATGGATGTCAAATCGGCATTTTTAAATGGCATCCTTGATGAAGAAATTTATGTCAAGCAACTCGAGGGGTTTATTGTGAAAGGTTATGAAGATAAAGTGCTGAGGTTGAAGAAAGCTCTATGTGAGCTTAAACAAGCACCGAGAGTGTGGAATTCCAGAATCGATGCCTATTTCAAGACAAATGATTTCTCTCAATGTCTATACGAACATGCACTTTATTTGAAGCATGAAAAAGGTGATGTTTTATTGGCATGTTTATATGTCGATGATCTTGTTTTTACAGGAAATAATCCATCGATGATCGATGCATTTAAGGCGTCGATGGTGAAAGAATTTGAGATAACGGATAATGGTCTCATGAATTATTTTCTTGGCATCGAAGTGAAGCAAAGTGCTGAAGGAATTTTTATTTCCAAAAAAGGATATGCAGAAAATATCCTTGAAAAATTGAACATGAAAAATTGTACGCCGGTCAATACACCGATGGAGTGTGGAACCAAGCTTTCAAAGTTTGATGAAGGTGTAGATGTGGATCCAACATATTATGGAAGCTTGATTGGAAGCTTGAGATACTTGACTTGTACGAGACCAGATATCATGTATAGTGTAGGAATCGTGAGTCGATACATGGAGAAACCAAAGTCGACTCATCTTAAAGCTGCAAAAAGGATACTTTGCTACATCAAAATTACTATCGATCATGACTTACACTACACTCAGTCTAAATCATTTCAGCTTAGAGCTTATTCAGACAGTGATTATGTTGGAGATATCGATGATCGAAAAAGCACTACAGACTTTGTATTTTTCTTGTGTGACACTGCTTTTACATGGTCATCAAAGAAGCAACCCAGTGTTACTCTATCAACGTGTGAAGCTGAATATGTAGCGGCGTCCTCATGTATTTGTCATGCGATATGATTGAGAAGGTTACTCAAAGAGATTCATATGGAGTAAGTGAAATTAATAGAGATTTTTATCGATAATGTTTCTGAGATTGCTTTGGTGAAAAATCCAGTTTTTTATGAACGAAGCAAACATATCGATGTTCGATATCACTTCATTCGAGAGCAAGTAAAAGAGAAAGAAATCGAAATTTCTCATGTGAAGTCTGAAGACCAAGTAGCCGATATTTTTACAAAACCTCTCAAGGTCGATGCATTTTGGAAGTTGAAGAGCTTACTTGGAATGATCGATGGAAGAGAATTTGGTTTAAGGGGAAGTGTTAGAAATCAAACCAAATTCATGAATGTCGAGACTATAGATAAGTTGTCGAGTCAAGGTTGAAGTTGTCAAGCAATTACCTCGCTATTGATAATGACGATGACTGTTCGGTGCATGAGTCTTTATTATATTGTTGCTTTCCAAGCGTCTCTTCGCGTCTCGATATCTAGTTAATATTTTGAGAGTTCCCAGGAGTCTATCTCATTGGAATGTTGATCTTATTTATGAGTCATTTAAGAGTTTGTTCAATAGTCATGTAACTAGTCTCTATAAAGGTATGTGTTGTAATTACGTTGACAATGGGAGACAAGATGAAAGAAATCAAAGTAGAAGTCTATTGATCTCCTCTTCCTTGTGTGTCTTGAGTAGAGAATATCTTCACCTTCAAATTATCTCCCATCAACACTTCCTTCCTTCATAAACTCACATATACACCAGTCGTTTTTCTGTAAATTGTAATGGCAACATAAGGGCCCCCGGCCGCTGATCCAAGTGCGGCCGTCCTCCCACACCTTAACTGTTCCTTTCCATCTCGTGCCGTTAGGATCTTCGAACTCAACATTCTTAGGTAACTTCAGTATGAAGACTCCGAACTGTTTGAACACATATTGCGGAATGCACTGCAACAAGACAGGTGAATGCAATGAAGACTATGGATAATTCTAAGACAAAATCTATATTTTAAAAAATAAGTATTATGCAATGATCATTCCATAGATCAAGAAAGAGTGAGCATTGCAGCAAATTGACAAACTGCGGATCCATGAAGGCAAGAGAAAAACATTCGCAACAAGATCACAATTCAAGAGGATATACTATGCAAAAACGGAAAGCGGGATGGAAGAACAAGCATACCAAGCTATAATTTCTGGTAGTCCGCATCCCAGTCACGAAGTATGGATTGTGGAAGTCGACGTACCTCCCCACATCGAACGGATATTTATCAACAGCTTTTCTCTCTTCAACCGTCGCTATAACATTAAGAGAGTCGAACAAATGAAGAGATCTATGTACACCCAATATAATCGAAACGTGCTGAAAATTAAAAAATCTTGAATAATTTCTATCACCATCATTTTTTGACCACTTCCTCCGATTGTCACGTTCCTCTTCATATCCTGATGATCCTCCTCCTCCTCATCATCATCGGCGCCTCTGGTGTACTCCTCGACTTCAACTTCTTGTCCTTCCTCCTCAGGATGGGCGCACTCTTTCTTCTCGCACTCAGAGTCCTCCTCTTTGCCCTTGTTATCGACGTCGTCTTCGTTACGCTCCCTAACTTCAACTTCTTCTCCTACCTCATCGGGATGGTGCACTCTTTCTTCTCGCGTCAAGAATTCCCATAGAGAAGAACTCTCAACACACCTTGACTCTGGTAGCGGAATCCCATAATGTCCAAACTCTCTAACAAGTTGTCCCTATAATATTTGGATAAAAAAAAGGAAAAAAAGAAAGTGTTGACTCAGTCAACAAAGGAGTAGTTGGGAGCTCGGTTAAAAGGGAGACCGAGAGCTCCCTCGGCAAGAAACAGAGGAAGAAAGGGAAAAAGGGAAAAGAAGAAGAAGAAGAAGAAGAAAGAGAGAGGGTTTGGTGTCACAGGGTCTCGTCAAGCCAATTCAACTTCATATTGCATCGCTCGGTAAGCACTCGTGCCTCTCGTTCGTCCGATCAGAGAAGTTTTCAGATTTAAAGTTTAAATTCGGAATTTTGGGAAATTCAAGCCACGAAGTTCGATTTTTGAGTCATTGAGCTGCGTATATATATAGAATTGGTAGTTGAAGGTGTCGTGGAGCCGTGGGATTTTACGGATCTTGATTTGAATTTACCGTTTGCCCAAAACAAAATTTTGAAGTTTTCCCCGTGAGGTGAACAGTAAAAGTCCGGCAACCTTCAGGCTATATTTCGTCGGTTTTCAGCTCAATTTTGGGATGGCCAAGCTAGGGGTTTTGTAATACTTTGAACGGGCTTTCTTTTGACTATAAGTTTGCTAGGATCGGAGTTCGATGGAGAAAGTTATAGCACAATCAAGATTCGCGTTCAAGTTTCACGTTGTGGATAATTTTGAATATCGCTTCGGTTGTGAGTTTTGTTAGCGCGTAGGAGTTTTTTCGTTAGCGTTTAAGCGTCGTTTAGCCATTTCGTAGTTACCGTAGTATTTTACTTGGTTTTGACGTCGATTCTCGGTTAATTATTAGGATTACGAGATTGTCGGTTCGAGTCAGTGTCGTTGTTTGATTTTTGGGGATTCCAGGTGAGTGGTGCTATCTCTTCTATGAAATTCTAAACTCATGTCTTGAAAGCGGATGAGACTCGATATATAATGAGTTGTGAAAGAACATATTTGTTGTATAAAAGTATGGATCGGGCATTTACTATATTTTGGTATTTGTAAATGGTTTAAGATATATTTTGGGAACGGTGTTGCGAAACGAGGTATATTTATTGATTTGAAATTGGTATGTGAAATGTATTATGGTTTGAGGCTACGTCCTTAGAGTGGAAGGGCGGCGGTGTCATCCCCCATCCTAGTAGGTTTCGGGGGTGTGACATCTTGTGGTATTAGAGCTTAGGATATGATTTTTGGGGTACAGAGTCTATGGGACGTTGTGAGGTAGTGCGCTAGGGTGTTTGTTTCTTTTAAGGCCTAGGTGACTGTTGATTCTGATTCAGAGAAGTATGTTTCGCCCTGTAAGAGATAAGAAAGGCAAGCGAGTTGTTACCTAGTATCTTAAGGTTCTCGAGCAGAAGACAAAAGAGAGAGAAAAAGGGAAAATTGCGACCCTTCAAAGCATGGATTTCCTCAAGTGGCTAGACTTTGCTCGTCGTGTGGGAGGTTATAACATGGAGTCGTGTTTAAATTTTCTTATGAAGAGATTTTCGCTATCACATACTTCGATTTCTACATTAACTCGTTCTTTTGACTAAAAACTAAGAGCCCAGTCTCGGACCCGTACGGCTAGCAGTCTTAAAGACTAAAAAGATAAAGAAAAACTAATCAAGAAGTTTTTGCAATGAAAAGTAAAATAGGTGTACCAAGCAAAGTGGCATTGATAATAGTTTCAACCACTTGAACAGAGTAATTCCCATCTTCCAATTCCATAGTAGAGACGCAAGTTGCAAGAACTGAAGAACGGAATAAAAAAGCAATCCAACATTTGTTTTCAACTTATAACACAACAACAACAAAATTAAAGTTCCGAATCAGATTGGGTGCCACGAGCTGGGGTTTTCAGGTTCTTGCGCCTCTTGCTACGTGAATTTTAATAAGGCGACGGGTGACACTTTCTTCCTTCAGAAACTCACATATACACCAATTGTTCTTTTGTAAATTGTAATGGCGACATAAGGGCCCCCAGCCGCTGATCTAAGTGTGGCCATCCTCCCACACCTTAATTGTTCCTTTTCATCTCGTGCCGTTTTCGAACTCAACATTCTTAGGTAACTTCAGTCCGAAGACTTCGAATAGTTTGAACACAATGCGGAATGCATTGCAATAAGACAGGTGAATGTAATGAAGATTATGGATAATTTTAAGACAAAATCTATATTTTAAAAAATAAGTATTCTGTAATGATCATTCCATAGATCAAGAAAGAGTGAGCATTGCAGCAAATTGACAAACTGCGGATCTACAAAGGCAAGAGAAAAACATTCACAACAAGATTGCACTTCAAGAGGATATACTATGCAAAAACGAAAAGCGGGATGGAAGAGCAAGAATACCAAGCTATTTTTTCTAGTAGTCCGCATCCCAGTCACGAAGTATGGATTGTGGAAGTCGACGTGCCTCCCCACATCGAACAAATATTTATCATCAGCTTTCCTCTCTTCAACCGTCACTATAACATTAAGAGAGTCGAACAAACGAAGAGATCTATGTACATATAATCGAAACGTGCTGAAAATTAAAAAATCTTGAATAATTTCTATCACCATCGTTTTTCGACCACTTCCTCCGATTGTCACGTTCCACCTCATCATCCTAATGATCCTCCTCCTCCTCATCATCATGGGCGTCTCCGATGCACTCACCAACTTCAACTTCTTGTCCTACCTTCTCAGGATGGGCGCACTCTTTCCTCTCGCACTCAAAGTCCTCCTCCTTATCCTTTTTGTCGACGTCGTCTCCGTTACGCTCCCCGACTTCAACTTCTTCTCTTACCTCGTCGGGATGGGCGCACTCTTTATTCTCGCGACATGAATTCCCATAGAGAATAACTCTCAACACACCTTGATTCTGGTAGCGGAACACCATAATGTTCAAACTCTCTAATAAGTTGTCCCGAACAAATTTTTGCCAGCCATCTTCAAAGTAACGTGCCCCCCTCCAAAATCGCGTTCACACGCCATTCCCGCCTCTCCGTGGGACGCGTGAGGAGGATCTCTTCCAACAGTGACTCGTCTAGCCATACCAGGAAACTTTTAGGGACGCGCTGTAGTGAACAACCATATGTGAGTTACGATTTGTTGAGTTAAAAACAGTTCATAAGAGAGAGTTATCTCACCATTCTTTGAGAGTCCTTCTCTAGGTTGTACACTTGGATGAAATATTCTTGTCCTACCTCCTCAAGATAGGCGCACTCTTTCTTCTCACACTCAGAGTCCTCCTCCTCCTCCTTGTTGTCGTCGTCGTCTCTGTTGCACTCCTTGACTTCAACTTCTTCTCCTACTTCCTCGGGATGGGAGCACCTTTTCTTCTCGCGCCAAGAGTCCCCATAGAGAACTACTCTTAACACATCTTGACTCTGGTAGCGGAACACCATAACGTCAAAACTCTTCACCAAGTTGTCCCGAACAAAGTTTTGCCAGCCATCTTCAAAGTAAATGTCCCCTCCTTCCAAAATCGCGTTCACACACCATGCCAGCCCCTCCGTGGGACACGTGAGGAGGATATCTCCCAACAGTGACTCGTCTAGCTGCACCATGAAACTTTTAGGGACGCGCTGCAATGAACTGTCATATGTGAGTCACCATTTGTTGAGTTAAAAATAGTTCATAAGAGAGAGAGTTATCTCACCATTCTTTGAGAGTACTCTGGCTTGTACATTCGGAAAAAATGTTTTTCGTTGTCACTCTCCATCTTCCTTTTGTTAGCAAATAGAGGGGAGTATTCTCTCTGTCTCTAAGGGAATGCGACTAGGCAGAGGGGAGTATTCTCCCAGCGCGAGTTAGCAGGCAAAGGCGAGTATTCTAGAGGGGAGTTAATATCCTTTACCGTCTCATTTTTTTTTCCAAAATTTTACTATCTCTTTTGTTGTTTGCCTGTTGGTCAACAATTTCATTTATTGTCGATGTTGACAACTACCCATCGATACTTAGTCTCTTAGGAAACGCGACCAGGTAGAGGGGAGTATTCTAGAGGGGAGTTCATATCATTTACTGTCTCAATTTTTTTTTTTAAATTTTACTGTCCATTTGTTGTTTGTCTGTTGGTCAACAATCTCATTTATTGTCGATGTTGACGACTACCCGTCCACATTCAGTCTCAGTGAATGCGACCGGGTAGAGGGGGGGTATTTTCTCAGCGCAAGTTAGCAGGCAGAGGCGAGTATTCTAGAGGGGAGTTCATATCATTTATTGTCTCATTTTTTTTTCGAAATTTTACTGTTGGTCAACAATCTCATTTATTGTCGATGCTGACGACTACCCGTCCACACTTAGTGTCTCTAAATGAAGTTACAAGCCAAATAGATGGGAAACTATCGACAATGTACAACTCTATAGGAGTGAGCAAAGAACTGACCAAACCGGCCTAGAATCGGCGATTCTTATGGGGACTGATCCGGTTCCCGATTTCAATAAATTGGAATCTGTGAATATCAGTCCGGTCCTGATTGGCGGATCGGACCGATATATATACATATATATTTAAAGAAAAAACAATGCCCATATACTGATTTACTCTAAAGTGTTAAAATATTCCATTTTATTCAATTAAGAGAAGATAATTGGAATCTTGTGGAATCCATTATTCCTGTCTAATAAAAGGAATATCCCTAATTTGGGGTAATCAAACGCCGCATTTTCGGGGAACTGATAGTTGAAAAACTGGTTGTTTTTCTACTCTTCTTAGTTCATTATCTGTTGCTTAAGTATCGGTTGGCCCAAAAAAAAAACGTTCGTGTTGGTAAATAAAAAGAAAAAAAATTAATTTTATCTACTTCATTTACAGTTTTAATGCCTTTTTTTTTAACTTGGAAAAAGCAAATTTTTTTTTGGGAAGGACCTCGATCATGCCCATTCCCATGTTGCTATTATTATTATTATTATTATTATTATTATTATTATTATTTCACCAACGCACAATTTTAGTATTAATTGATGAATGCAATTTTTTTGAGATGGAACCAAATGTCCAAATGGGAACATTTATCCTGAAATCACAGTATCATTTCGTGTTTGATAAGTAAGACCTCATGCATATTTCTTTATTATTCTTACCATTTCCTTTGCAAAGAAATACCCACATAGAAACGAGGTTCACCATGATATTAATTAATTAATGCAATTTTGTAGGGAGTGGAGACCGGTTCGGTCCGATTCCCGGGTGGATAAGGGGAATCAACGGGCGATTTCCGATTTTAATTTTTCGAAATCGATCTTTAGTGAGTGATTTTCGATTTGAAGATAGAAATCGCCCACTCAGTTCATGCTCACTCCTACGAACTCTACGGCCTCCCACGCCTAAAATAAGATGGGAAACTATCGTGCTGGAGACGTCTTGCGTAAACTTCTAGGAAATTTCGCGGTTGAAGTCAACTCAGATGGGTGGTTCAGTTTTAACCGCCGGGCATCACCAATCGCCAGAGACTACCACCAAGGGTTAGTGGGCTGTCTCATCGCTTTAAAGCCATTAGCTGACCCAAGAAAGAAGTACCATCTTCACTGTTTCCATTTTGTTTCCACCCATTTGAATTCCTTCCATACATGTGTGCTCACATATGCTTCTCCGAGAAAGCTCCGCGGCGACATATGCCGTTTTTTAGGGCTTTTTGAAGGTGGTAGTCCGATCTTAAACGAAGGAAACTCGCTTCACAGTAAAATACGCGGGAGAAAGAATTTGAGAGATCCTTGTTTGCTAATTTGAAATTTTTATGTTTTGTTGAAGAGCGAAAAGAGCACCCATTTGTCCTGCTTAAAAAATTATCCCATATGCTTGTCTTATACCTTTTGTCTTTCAATTCACCTACCTTGTTCTTGTAGCCAAACAATTCCATGAAGCATCGCATACAATTCCTAGAAACCGCCGAGCATTTTCGGAATTTTCGCTCGGGTCATATTTCGAGGGTAATTGCGTGAATTCGTTATACATGTTAGGTGTATAACATGTAATAGATAATGAAGGCTTGTAGACAAAATCCATGGTTGCGTACTTTGTATTATGAATTCACGTAATAGGCTTGGAGAAGAATTGGTCTTGCATATCTCCGCAGATGTAACTACAAATATCAACGCTACCAATAAATGATGCTTAATCATCCCCAACTTCCAAAAACTTAACGGGTAATTAACAGTGGATGGCAATTAGACTAAGCCACTAAGGAGTACAGAGAAGAAAACCAACTCGAAGCAAGCTTCCGCACCATGCATACAAACTTAGCAAAGAGCAAGATTTTCCATAAGATATTAAATAGGCGCACCAGTAACTTTTGCGAGCATGGGCTTTATATACCGGCCTCTATCCTCAGAAAATACAACATTCTTTGCTCAACCAGCCTTCCCTCGACGTCTCTGCGCTTGCTGAGCAAAGAAGAGGAGCTTCTCATCAACTAAACCACCTCCGGCATCAACAATGAACTCCTCAGGTATCTGTTCTTGCTGCTGTTCGTTCTCTTCATCATTCTCATCCTGGTCCCAAGGAGAATTGCATCTCTAGGTAAACCGATACGATAGTTTCGTCACAATTATGCAATGGTATAGAAAGAAAAACAGACCTCTTGATCTTCCTCTTCATTTTGCTCCTCCCCAGAACCCTGATTTTGTGGAGGAGGTGGTGGAGGAGGCTGTTGGTCCTTTTGTTCTGGTGGGTTCTCACTAACAATTGAACGAGGAAGGATCACAAGCTCCACCTGTATTCCACAGCATATTGCAGAAGAGTTTACACCTTGCTGCATAATGAAATTGCTGTGATAATTACGAGGGATGACTCATTCAATGTAATGCATATGCATTTGCAGATGGCAACATATTTAGGATCTTATAAATACTAACTCTGAGAAATAAGGTGTTATTTCTTCTGAAGTAAATATTATTTTGTGGGAGAACATCCTCATGATCTTGAGCTAAATAAGCTGTGGTACTCTTATCCATATGAAACAGAGAGTCTTATAAACCTCTACTACATGCATCATAAAAAACCAGAATGAACTCATGGAAGTGGACCGAAAATTGATGCCAGTGAGCCGAAATTAACAGTTGAAATGAGGAGAAGAATTTCTTGAACTTTTTAAGGCAATCTGATCTGCTTATGAAATGACCCATGGTCCGTCTGACATGGTGCTCATAAGTTCAAAAAATCAGAAATGGACGAAGTATTCTACGATAATGGATCTCAGAGAAACCAGGAAAACTGTGTGTTTCAGATGGATACTCAACAGCTTTTTTAAGGCCATCCACATTTCAGTAGGTGTGTAGTATAGCCACTGAGCAAGAAGGAACTCAACGGACAGCTAACTCCATAACTCTTTATCAGAACAGCCAAGTTCATATCTGATTTTACTTTCTAGGGAAAAGAAACTCGCATATCTGTTGATGCGAAGAGGCCAATAGTGCTTCACTCATTTATTTCTTGCTGCCGTTTGTGCTATAAAAGCCACATGATTTAGGTTCTTATTTTTCCTCCCCAGGGAAATGGAGTTTCTATGACAGCATCCAGCAACCTCCACCTACAACTACAAGTTTCCCGCATAAGTTTCTACAGCTTTTGTCCTTATTAGTTATCTGGATTGAGCACTTAATGCCATCTGCAACCTAAGCACAAGAAATGGCAAATTAATAAAGCAGAAAACTCAAAACCACAGGTTTTCTGAGAGGCATTACACATGCAAGAAAACTTGTCAAACGATTATACAACACAAAAATCATCAGTAGTTTCACAGCACACAAAGCCAATTTCTAAACAAGAAAAATACACATTTCTGAGGCTTCTAGCATGAGGAGGAATTAATTTCTTGCAAATCAGAAAAATGAGAAGGCATTAGAAGCCTTTGCCAAGTTTAACAGTTGAGAAGCTGCACTGCTAATTTGAGGAACTACAAGCATGGAAGAATCAGGCCATGCCCTTGTAGCCTAATGATATCACCGACTCTACTTGTTTAAGAAAAACAGAATCTACCAGAATTAGTGTCATAAAAGGTGAAGGACGAGGAGGAGGAGCTGGAAGCATACTCTATGGACCTTTACACTCTTTGTTTACACAAAGCCATCAGACTTAGAATCCAAAAATACAGAAATATAATAAGCTAACAAAGAGTCCAGATGTCAGAACCTGACAACCACCTCGAAAGGCTTCCATCACTAAGTACTTCAACTGCTCTCTACTGATTGTGACATCTTTCAGATACTCTCTAGCCAAAATGATCTAAATGTGACCCGAATACCAGTAGTTAATTAATAAGCATCTCATCTCAAAACATTGCTACTCAAATAAACAAAAATATCAGTACTAAAGAGTACGATGACAAATATGGCTTCACAATTGAGTAAAATAAGCACTGCTAGATCTAACAGGAGCTCATAAATTGGAGAAGAAATTTCATAAATCAATTATATCTACTTCGCAGATGATAAGTAAGTGAAAGTATGTCCAAGACCAACGCAGATTCAATAAATTAAACCACATCAAAAGTGTTTCCAAGATCGACACACAAAACAAAAAACAGACTATCAAGCAATCTTTGGTTGATGTCTATGCGAAGAAAATTCCATTTCTAGAGTTACATCTCAAAATATGAGATGCAAACATAACTTCTGAACTTTGCCACCAATTACAAGGTCAATTATCCGTAGGTCTTAGCATCTTCTATCCTAAAATCAATGTCGAAAGACTTGATGCATGACTTGTTCCACTGATTAATATCTCACATACATAAGAAAAAAATGAAATATACCCAACTTTACACATAAGTGCAGAAGGGGGGATAAAGAGATAAGTAAATATTTTAATCAACTAGGCAGAACTGCATGCAATGCTAGTTTATTGGATATTTACCTGAGTGTTTGCATAGTCTGTTTCCTCCTCCACCATCTTGAAAACCTCATTAGCATGCTCCTGGAACTTGGTTGCAATATCAACTGCAGCAACACGATCTTCAAAGCTCATAGGAAGATCTGCGCTGAAACAGAAGTGTGTCATTAGTGGACAAAGGAGGATAAGTTAGAGAACTAGAGCAGAGGGTTTACCTCAAATTTATGGCGATGCGGTCTAGAAGGTGTTCTCGCACAGCACCCTCCTCCGGGTTATAAGTAGCGATTAGAAGAGGGTTGCATGGATGTTTAAAGCTTGTTCCCTCTCTTTCCACTGTGTTAACTCCTTCAGTCATCGTTTGTCAGCAACAAATTGACCCAATTCATCTCCGCAGAAGTTTGCATAAGTTAATATTGTTGATGAAGCATTTTCAAGCTTTATTGATTTAAACATTTTTCTGCGCGCATGAATAAGAACATGGAGGTCAAACTGCTTAGATATCACCAACAACCATTAAACAGACTACAGTAACTTCCTTGCTGGAAACAAACAAGATGCTGTTAAAGCTGCAAATATATATTTACTTGCGAAACTAAGATGTTACAAGCATGAGCAACCAAGAGCAAGAACTGAACACGTTGATCTCCTAAATAGGTGGTTCAAAAAGCAGCATAAAAAACTGACAGCTTTCCCCTCCTAGTTCTCATTGCTAGTCAAGGACGAAATAATGATATGCACACCACAATTGGAAGAGCCATCACATTTTGTAGTGGAATTCCTAGATCATGGAGACGTAAACAACTTTGTAAATTGCAGACAGGTGATCAAAACCTTTACTACCAGAGTAGACTCCACCGCAGTCTATCCATTTCGAACAAATGTTGCTTGCAATTTACATGTGCCAGCACTTTACACATAGTTTTCTCAAGGAACATTGTGCTTGAAAGTGATATCCATTTGCAACCATTAATTGAGCAGTAATGCAGGGATCATAGGGTACTCCACCCCAGTAATGCCTCAATACATATACAATCTCAAGATCCAAACAAATCTCTTATGAAAGACCTGACCCGCAAAGGGGGACAGAAAGTTTACCCTGCAATCAGGTCGACAGCATTAGAGGATGTTGAGATCTCCATAGACTCCAGATTAGGGCATGAGAACGCAATGCAAGCCCGCATCGTCGCAACTACATCACTGCGAAAGCCAACCAATAAAACAAGAACCGAATCAGTGTCATAAAGCCATAAAAGTTTGACAAAGCTCTAGCACATGAACCGGAATTGACAGTGAGATCCAATCAGGATGGTCACAACTGAGTCACAAGTTCTACTCTTTCCTTAAAGGGTTAATGTACGAATCCTGAAACTCCCCAATTCACGAAAGATTGTCCATAAATGCTGATAAGCAGCATTTCCACTAGTCACAGCATACATTCCTTTTCGTAAATTTTAACTTCAAATTCATTGATCAAACAGTTCGCTTGCGGTAATTAGCTCGTGTATCAACTTTGGTCCTGATCGATAACGCCCAGATGAATACTGTCTCTAGCGTTTTCAGAAGATCAGTGCATCAACATCAACCGATCCTATCCACCTCGTGAAAAAACATCCAATATCCGAACCGCACAGTCCGAATCCATGATTGAGTCCTAACCTTTCCATCCTCAGAGATAGCCTAATGAGCTCAGGGCACTTGTTCAGCACCAATCCAACGAAACAGAGCAGAGCTCTCAGTGGAACCCTGAGCTTCAGACCCTCGGCAGCCCCCCACACCCTCCTCGAGGTCTCCCGCCACCCCTTGCACACTCTCGCCGCCGGGAGAAGCTCCGCCGGCGGCAGCCTCAGGACCTCCCACAAGCACCTAGCGGGCAACCCGCTGGTATCCAAATCAACCAATTTACTCGTCGAAGGAAAGCGCGCGGCGGAGGTGGGAGATCGGGTGGTGCGGGAGGAGGGGCAGTGGGCTGGGGAGGGCGGGCAGAGGAGAAGAGCGAGGACAGAATGAGGGCGAGGGCGGACGCGGAGACATGGATTTGGAGTGTCTCAGAGGGCGCAAGCTGGGTAAAAACCATTCATCGGTTCTTGGATCCTCCTACTTTCTGTTCTGAATAGGAGATTGTAAAGATGTGTGTACCTTGTCGGAAACTTCCTTTGTTACGGTATTCTGCTGTTCTGTGTGTTGTACCATTGGCTGTGACGCAACAAATATGATCAGAGTGTAACATTATCCTGTTTAATTTAGTAATAGCTTTCTCTCTTTCTCTCTCTCTCTCTCTCTGGCATTTCTTTTTAATCTCCTCGTGCGTGTTGGGGTTATAGCAGGGTTCTTTCAATTGTCTTCAGATTGGTTATATAATGTGTGGTAATGTGTTGATTTGCGAAAGTTAAATTTTGTCCATCTTGAAATCTCTCGGCTAAAACATTGAAGTATTGCAAGTTGGTCCATCTAAAACCACATCTTTTGTAACGAGAAATCAGTTGTGCTTTTACTTGTCCATCCTACGGTCTGCGAACACGGTGCATCACTTCGTAATTTGTACTGAAAGTGTCTAATTAACTGATGTTTACAGCTTAACTATGTTCTGCAATCGAAAGTGCAGAAGTAGTAGATAAGTTTGTCCATTAACATGGAAGAAGGAAAGCTTAATTTGAAAGACCACCCGGGGCCATCCAAGACGATGTCAGTCACCAAGTCTCTCTTCAGCTGTAAGTACGCCGGCCCTTTTCTCTTTTAATGGGTTTCTCCATTGTACGAAGGGCAGTCATTCCCAGAAGTCCGAAATCGATCCAAGGAGCTACTAGTGGCCCCTTTCATAAAATATCATGGGTGCCATCCACCAAGAAAGAATAAAAGTTTAGAGGTAGTTCTCTATGGTAGTTTTAGCCCACACTGGTTCGTGTTTCATGCGTTTTGTCGTATTATAATCAGACGCGTTTGCATGCTTTTGTCATTCGTTAACGCAACTGTTCACAAACATCTGCATGTGCACTTCTAGGCATAGAATGATTGGTCAGATCGCTTTTGTTCTTGTGGTTGACCGGTATAATTGTTCTACTCGATGGCGTCTGTTCTCTTATAACATTAGTGTCATTAGTAAGGGGCTGCCGCCGGATATTTTGTTCCTTTTACCTTTCCTGCGCCTGCATTTGGTGTGCCTATTTTGGTCTAACGGAGGTGGTACCTGTGCTTACCACGACTCAGATCAAGAATGATTACTGTCCGCCTTAGCACTAGAAGATCAACTGGGTTGGGACAACTAGCAGTTTAGATTAATCCAGCAACCTTGATCATCGGAAACTATTTTCTCCATTAACGAACGGCTGTTTTCTTGAGTAGAATGACTAGGTGGACTGCCCTACGGGGTCGTGCATGCTGCAACGTTTAATTGCGGATCAAGTGATCGAAGAACATGACAATTCTACTCTCTCCATACAAAAAAGAAGAGGAGGAATCTGGGTATGTGCTCCATCTATTCTTGATGGTAAGGAATCTATTACCCTCTACTTCTGATTGAGCAGAGGCTGGTTTCGTATACTCTACTTCTCTTGCTATTTAGACAAGATCTCCGAATCACTATAGTCCTTAAGATTGCGTATAAACTAACAAGGTAGGCCTAGTCTGCTCCTGATTAGTGCCGTTCGATGCGCGGAGACAAGAGTCTCCGAGCTTCCGTCTCATGCGTGAAAGAGTCGCATTCCAAATTCGACCGAGAAGATGGGACTGAGTCTAAGGGCGTTGAAACGTCGAGCGAGCCAACACAAGTTTGCCAATGAACAGACGACTACATCAATCAATCCGAAAGACGCAAACAAAAACGTTAGGCAGCTCGAGTGGGACTTCAACGATTAAGTAACACAAGAAAACAAACTTTAGTTCCGATGTGGTTATGGCGTAACCAGGTGACAACTAGAGACTGTTTTGGCTTTTGTAAGGGGGGGCCATGTCCGTGAGATGCTGACCAGCAGGTTGTTGGTGATCCTTTGGGTCTACGCTAAGCTGCTACCCCGTTTGTCGTTGATTTAGAATGTCCCCTTGTCACATGTTAAGGAATACCCCACTTAACGATGTATATGCACGTTCTACAATCAACTTGGTGAAAACACATTAGCCGTAATCGAGTTTATAGCTTCTATGTTGGTGCGAAAAACGAGCCACTGAACGCAATAATGCATGGCATGGAATAAGGAAATTAATTGGATGCCGTATCTACGTGATTCAGTCGGCGGGGATGTCACAGAGATTAAATTCTTGCTCTTAGTTACTCAAACACTTTCGGTATTCCTAATCACGTTCAATAATTAATATAACTTTTAGCCCTCATAATTTTTCATGAAATAATCTATTTATCTTATAAAGGGATTCGCAAAATCTTACCCGCAAACTTTTATACTAATTAAATTTCCTTATTATAATATAGTGATTGGATTCAAGATAGGAAAACCATTTTTTGAAAATCTACTCAAATTAGGAAAGCACTCGTTAGAAATCTAATTGGATTGGAATGGGTTTTATTTTTTTCTTTTTTTGACTGAGGATTGGGTTTTTTTTTTTTTTGGGGTCAAAGGATCGGATTTCCTTTACAAATTCAAACTCGAGGACATTTTTTACATGTGTAATTTGAGAGTCTCATAACACACTGTCCATCTAGTGTAAAGAAACGCTCAATGAAGCCAAGATGCTTCATTGGAATATAGCGAACGAATTATTCTCAGCATGGAGTTTTTTTATATAAGTTTGTCGACATGTACACGTGTCCACTTCTTAACCGCTAAGCCAACCCTGTGGTCGGAGAAAACAATTAGAATGATAATTGAATAGCAAAGCGAACATTCCCGCGGAGGATTTGGAATTCGAGAAAGTACACATTGTGCTTAGCTCATTTACAGTATTAAGTTAGTTCTACTTGATCTAAATCCGGCTTGGTATAGTACTGTGCACATACAGCCGATCTAGCCATATTAATCAATTCAATTGGAATGATGAACAGGTCATTCTCAATTGACACCAAATTTTCCATAAATGAACAGTGCTCGTTTGTAATCACCAAAAAATCATGACATCTATGTACACAAGTTTTTCTATAATAAGTTCCTCGTCTCTCTCAAAGGCTTTCTATATAAGCAGACGACATCCCTAAATGCTTGCTGGTCCTAACAAGGCATGTTTTTCCCTCCTTGCCCGGATCACATCTCTTTATTGCTTCAACTTGTGCACAGGGTGATGGCAAGCCAGGACTCTCTCACTCTGCCTTGCTCGACCCTTTCTGTATTTCAAGGTTTGGAATTGGAGTCGTGAAAGAGAAACGCCAAAAGAAGAGCACAAGAGCAGCGAGTGAGGGATCGACAAAGATGCCTGCAGTTTGGTTTGCCCTCAAGAGATCACTGGACTGCAAGTCAAATCATCGGTCGGATGCTCATGAACCAAGGCTGAGGAGCCTCAACAGCATCATCACAAGAAGGCCAAGGTGCGGCTGCTCGAAGTCGATATCGCATCTCCGAGATGTTGTTCATGGAAGCAAGAGGCACGCTCAGAAGCCACCAAGCTGTAGCCCAAGATCCATTGCCAGCAGCGAGTTCATCAACCCCATAACCCATGAAGTGGTCTTCAATAACTCGAAATGCGAAATTAAGATCATGGGTGTCGGAGGCAAAGTCGGTGGGAATCATAGCAGGAGCGATTCGAATTCATCGACTTTTGTCGGGACACTTCATCCTGGAACACCTGGTCCTAGGGGCCAGTACATGGTTCCAAGCAGTTACAGTTCCCCGAGGTCGATGAGTACTCCTTCGAGGAGGATTGGCAGCAGTTCGTCCACGTCTGTCAGTTGCAGAAGCGGCGGTTTCCCAAAGTCCAGGAGTATTGTAGGCCCTGATGCTCATGTTGGATCTTTGGTTCTCACGTGCCACAAGTGCGGCGAGCGATTCAAGAAGTTGGATGCTGTTGAAGCTCATCATCTCTCCAAACATGCTGGTAAATTACCTTGAGCCACATGATCATATCTGTTTCTGCACTGCCTTTGCAGTTTCTCATTCTCTGGTAGATAGATGTATAATCGTGTATTTAATTTGGGGTAGTCTGAATGAACTGGGGATTGAACTTCTGGTTTTAAGCTATCTGAGGATGGAAAATCAGCAAAGGACAGAACTGGGTGTGGTGAGGAGTCTCTTAACCTCAACTGTCAATTTGTTAATGTGATTGCAACTTTTTCTTTTTCCAGTAACTGAACTAAGTGATGGAGATTCATCCAAAAAAATAGTGGAAATAATTTGCCAAACAAGCTGGTTGAAGTCTGAGTACAGCAGCTGTGGACAGATTGAGAGAGTCTTGAAAGTCCACAACATGCAAAAGACCCTCGCCCGGTTTGAAGAATATCGAGAGATGGTCAAGATCAGAGCCAGCAAGTTATCCAAGAAGCACTCCCGTTGTTTGGCCGATGGAAATGAGCTCCTAAGATTCCACAGCACAATCGTGGCTTGCTCGCTCGGCGTCGGTTCTTCCGCCCTATGTAATCTCAACAATTGTGGTGTTTGTCGAATTTTGAGACACGGGTTTCCTTCGAAGAAGGAATTGGCTGGTGGTGCAGGGATATTCACTTCATCCACGAGCGCAAGAGCCATCGAATCAATTAAATTAGGTGAAGGAGATGAGTGCCTCAGGAAGGCTCTGCTGGTTTGCAGAGTAATTGCTGGGAGAGTCCACAAGCCTCTAGAAAACATTCATGAAATGGCGAGCCAATCTGGGTTCGACTCATTGGCCGGGAAAGTGGGTCAGTTCTCAAGCATCGAAGAACTTTATATATGGAATCCGAAAGCTCTCTTGCCTTGCTTTGTGGTAATTTGCAAACCCTGAAACGAAATTGAAGTGGGGGCTATAAAAGAAAATTCTTCCAGTTTCCAGTCGTATATGGTTCTTCTGCAACATTTGTCATTCTTCTTCCTATAGATGCAATAATAATATTGACTCTATTCTTATCAGGTTCATCAACACTAAACGGTTCTTCACTTTCGCTGTTCTTCTGTGCTTGAGAAGTTGTCTTCCGGTACCGAGTATTGTCAAGTATAACCAAAGACTGTTTGAATAAGTAGGTTTCTATTAGGAGAACAAAAGCAAGCCCGACTGCAAAAATTTTGTCAGCTTGAATATGTTTGTACAAAATTTAGAACATAAAGCTCTCATGATAATCGCGAAATTAAGCAACTTAATGGATGAACAATTTAATATACATAATCCACGAAGATCTTTGGGGTATTAGAGTATGTAATGTCCTGAGTCGATGCAGAGTTCTGTTTCTTGCATTAACTGCCGTATCTTTGGTCGTCGGATGAGCCTTTCTGTCCAGTCTGGAAATTGTTGGCCTCCTGTTTTAGGTGAAGTATTCATTTATATCATCGATCTTCTCTCTCTGCCTGTGATGCCACGCTACTTACCTTTCGATACACTATGAAAGATGAATTGCACTTCCGTGGAAAAGAACATGGTCGACGTGTTATGCTTCTGCACCGTCGTCAACGGTTAAGTTAAATCGACCTTATAATTTATCAGCAAGTGCTTTAGGCAATACCTTTTATAAGGATTGCGCGTGAACTTCAGTAGATCGTGCTGTGACTCATAGTTGCTACATCGGCAGCGCCTTCGAAATTCGCAAACCGGCCCTGACTAAAGGCGACCATCAGCAAGTGGCGTACTTAAAAAGTTCGATTGGCCATCCATCTGGATGGAAAATGTTGATCACCGAGGATTGTAACGGAGGGGAAACTCCAAGAGGTTGTGAATGCATTTAAAGATGGTTTCTTTCAGTGGACCCGCTCGGCATGTGCCCTCGACTTTGCAAATGCTGAAAGGTCTTTCGGCAATGTCCATGCTAAAAGATAGAGAGGGAGGGACCATCTTATCCCGATATATAAGCTAGTAAGGAGAAGAGAGAAGCAAGAGCAGTTCGGATATTTAATGGCAATACCCATCTCTCTCTCTCTCTCTCTCTCTCTCTCTATAGTTGTTTGTGCCAACTGTGAATTCTTTGCCTCTTATTTGCTGTCATTTTCATGTCATCTGTCTGAGTTTCTAGCTGTGCATGTTCCCTTCTTAATTCCTTCCCTTTCAAACAGTGATGAAGAGCTCTGCTTCATTGCATGGAATATGTCCTAGAATATGAAGACCTGATAAATGGGCCATAAGACAAGGCAAATGTTGAGGAACTATGATGGATAGTTAGCATTTGGATCACAATACAGCTCAAACTTCCAAGCTCCATAAGGAACTAACAAAAAATAATAATTTCGATTTTCAAAATATTTATTACACAAGAAAAAAATGGTGCATTGAAAACTATAAATATTTAGGCATAAATGTTTTGCGACTAACAAATTAGAAGTAAAGAGACAGCTTTTTATCATTAATAACTTTTCATCGTAAGAACCGCTTTTCCTCATTAACTAACTTTGCCTCTAGGTAAAGGTCAAATCACTTCAACGAGTGGCTCATTCTAAACATACCGATTCTAATTAAAAAAAGTATATATTCAAATGCTTGTCGAATCATAAAGACAAGGAGCATCAACTTTTAAATTCATGACAATTTGATATTTCAATCAATCACTAGCATCATCTTGCCATCTCCCGTTACATCAATTGCAATTTACAACCTAACAATGCAATTATAATGAACGTTTGGGGTTCATGTTAGGTTTCAGTTTGCAAAACTTTACAAAATCGGCAAGTATTTCGCCTATTCTCCTCTATAACTTGAAGTAAACTACAAAAATCAACAAAAGGAAAAATTCTGTTTGACTTTGATTTTGGCCTAATTGGAGTCGTATGGGTTTCGGTTTCTCTTGAACACCCCCAGCACTACTTCAACTAATAGAACACCCTTAGCAGAATGTTCATGTTGTGGGATTATCAAGATCACATCATTAAAGGGGTTGAAAATCACATATTTTTTAAGCTACTGCCAATTGAGGCCCTAGGATTTTATTTGTTTATTTATGTAATTTTTTTTCCCTTTCAACATATCTTGAGTTGGGCTTCAGCTAAATCGGATTTGGGAGGCTTGATTTAGGCCTGGATGTGAATTTGACGAGCCCGCTTACATATCTCAAGTCCGCTTCGAACCCAAGTTGGGTCCTCGAATGGGTATTCTAGAATTGTCTCAGATGCATTTACTAGATCACGTGCATATTTGAATTGTACTGTTTTAAAGTTCACATTGAATAAATTAACAATTTGGTGACGATATTGCACCTTGAATTAGAGTTCAAAGATTATTTGTGCTATTTTCTCACTTGTTTTCGTCACTCTAAATATTTATGTATTAATGCATAGGGCAAAGTAAAAAACAGTAATAATCTCCATCAGAGTCAAGACCATAATCGTAATTATTTTGACGACAACATCACCATCAAAAGGTGTCATTTTTATGCTTTAACTATAGTGCCAAAGACAAAATTGTGGACAAGAAGCCAAAGACCATGAGATGAAGACACGTGGCTACTTCTGGAATATCTGCTTCTTGTTGATCCAAATAATTGGGCTCGCAACGTCACTTCACTTGGTAAACCTCGAACTTATCAAAAATCTCGCTAACTTTGTAGATTAAGCGAAATGTGAGCTTAAATGCGAGAAGGTAGTCCAAACACGAGACTGTTTTTCTGTTTTTGGCATTTGAAAGCGTGCGAATCAGAGACTTCACATTGAAAACTAATTTGAAATGTCACAGCATGTTGCAGAAATAAAAGAGCTCATCAGAAGCAAAGATTGGAAAAAGGTTTTAGAAGGAAAAAAAAAATCAATTTCAGGAGAGAAAATCCGGACCAAAATTGGGCCGAAAGAAAGAAATTCTTAGGACCAAGTTGGGTCAACATCTTGGGTTTGGCTCATTCGCTCTCATCACTGTATAATAACGCCAATATTAGTTGAAGGGACGCTGATAGATATCGGCCTGATTCCAAAAGAAGCATCGATTTTATCTTGAGTAATAATTTTGGTTCAAATTTTTTTTTGTCTCATAAAAGTCATAAACTTTCACTTAAATGTCAAATATGGCCTAAAAAATTTGAAAATTTGGCATCACAATAGCCAGATTTGAGACTCAAGTAAAAGTTTATACTTTTTATTGAGACAAAAAAAAGTTCGGGCCATAATTTTCACTCAAAGTAAAGTTGGTGTTTTTTATGGAATTAGTCAGATAAATATCAGCATGCGTATTTAAAATATTTTTCCACATTACAGAAGTATAGGACCATCTATCTATTTATCCAATAATTTATTTATTTATATTCTTTTCTAGAAAAGGTATCTTAAAAATATTGCATTTAGGTGCATTGTCATATCAGCACGAAAAAAGCATCCTCCTGCTGAGAAGCTCACCTAACATGAAGTTGTTCACGTGATGCTCCTCTACCCGGTTGAGTCGACAACTACCCACCTTGCATTGCAACAAAAACCCTAAGCTTCACCCTTTTGTGCATGCTGTGCTATATTTACTTTCTGTTTTTTATCCCCAGCTAAGTATGGAGATCAGTTGATTACATATCAATACATCATTAGTGTGCATACGAGAACTTAGTAATAATAGATGGATGATGCCAAATGCATCTGCGGAAGGGAAAGTTTGAGTTGTGAATCCAAATCGCCTACACAAATTTCGAAAAAAAAAATGATTGTAGATAAGATAATTTGTCCCGGACGACGTCCTCGAAAAATGCAAATATGACTATTCTTTGAATCTGTTTCGCCAAAAGGGTGATGAAATATTTTTTAAGAATATGGATGGATGGATGGATATGAATCGATAAATAATGTGAATGGTCTTTTATTGATTTTGGATAGGAAAATTATTGAGAAGGAATTTAAAAGAACGACATTGGAAACAATCGTTGCCAGTGATGTAAAATGCAAGAGGATATAGCAAAAGGATAAATTTGCATAAGATGTTGGGTTCTTTGATTGATTGGAGGCGTTTACAAAGAATACACTTGGGTATCTATATCACTCTATAGACGATTACATACAACGGTTATTAAATTTGAATAAAGAAATAATTTCCTAATCCTATTGGGGGTTGCAAGACCTTACACAATCTCATATTATCTAGCAACACTTATAATCAAGACGCTATAAAAATCCTAAAATAGTGGTACGGCCAAACAATTATGTTTTTGTGCCGATTGCTCATTATCGATGACTTTGTCAATCAACTTCCTAAGTCTTGATGATGGCTCTCGTCAATAACTTTCATGTCGTGTGTTGTCAATTGTTCTGTTCATTGACAACTTTTTGTTTTCGCCAAATTCTGCTTGCATCGACTAAGTCTGTCACTTGTCAATAATAACAAAAAGTTGGTCGTTTTTAGCCGTTAATATAATCATTTAAAAAGAATATGTGGGGTCAATGAGAAAATTGCAATACGATCGAACTGAGCCGAATGAACAATCTAATACTTATGCTCCATTTGTTTCACGGAAAACAATTTTCTCCTTTTCTGGCGTTTGGTTCGCTTAGGAAAATGAGTTAACGGAAAACCCATACTTAAGTTCAATAAAATGATTTCCTCTTTAAAAAATAAAAAATCATTTTCCAAGACTAGGTCTCCGGCGCCCCGGCTTGGATCCATTGAGGCTAGGCCCGCGACCCCAGTGCCTATAGCCGATCCCTGGTGCCCGCGCTTGGGTTCATCAAGGCAGAGCCCGAAACCTTGGTGCCTGTGCTTAATGCCTCAACACTCGGGCCTAGGGAGATCCCGGTACTTGAGATAAGATCCCCAACACCCTGACCCAAGTCCACAAAGGCTGTGCTCGAGTCTATTGAGGCCGGGCACGGGTCCCTAGTGCCCACGCTTAGGTCCATCTAGGCCGCACGCGGGACCCAAGTGCTCGTGCCTCAATCCTAGCACCTGGGTCTGGTTCCATCAAGGCCGAACTTGGGACTCTAGTGCCCATACTCAGTTCCTTGACTGCCAATGCACAGGTTATTAGCGTTCGAATAGTGTATGTTTATCTAAGAAAATTAAATCAGATTTTTTATGCCAAACAACGGAAAAATATTTTCTAATTCAATTTCAAGTTTTAGCCAAATACTGAAAAATAATTCCTTAAAATTAATTTTCAGAAATATTTTTTTTGTGAAACAAATTGAGTTTTAAATTCATTTGTTTTTTTGAATGAGAAGCTGGATGATCTTGTCAAACTATATTGAAATCTGAACTCCATATAATCTCTAAGTCCGTTTAAGCTCTTACATAGCTTGACCCGGGTACAGTGGACACTCAGCACTTAAATTCCCAACCTTAATAATTAGGTGCAGTCCAATAAAAAATCAAACTGTGACGTCACTTTGATGTAGACAGTCCATGTCTGCATCTGATATCTAGTTTTTATTATTCTTCTCTTTTTTGTCAGCAAAAAAAGGAATTCAGTTCAATTCATTAAGGTTTAAATCTCAATGCATGGGAGAGCTTTGAGTTGTAGGTGAATGTACGGGAGAAGTCACGTGCTCACCTTCTTCCCTCAGGTTAGATGGGGGAAGAGCATGAGAAGGACACAACCCACTCGCCTACTTAAGAAAACCGAACTCACCCCAAGAATTACTGCCCAATACCCACCATTGGAGATTCTTCTCCTTCTACTTCTGCTGCTGTTGCTGTTTGTTTTGCCTTCAAGGGCATCCAAAAGTCCACAGAGAGAGAGAGAGAGAGAGAGAGAGAGAGAGAGAGAGAGAGATGGCTACCGAGATTGTGGGGAACAAGAAGGCGTGTGTCATTGGAGGGACAGGTTTCGTGGCTTCTTTGCTGGTCAAGCTTTTGCTTGAGAAGGGCTATGCTGTGAATACCACTGTCAGGGACCCAGGTTGATCTCTCTCTTTTTTACTTTTTCTCCTGAAAAACGTATGAAAATCAAGTATTTTCTCCATCTGCTTGGTCTGTTGGTACAGGGGAATGCTCTGTTTTTGTGGCATATTCATTCCTTGATTGCTGATTAGTTCAAGCCTCCCATTTGTTTGGGAAAATGCCTATACCCTGCGAAACGAGGGAAAATTTCATTTCGCTCCCTTCAAACTATTGCCAATTTAACCATAGATGAAACCAAGTTCTTGCATTTAGCTCAATATGAACAACCCGACTCGGGTTGTCAATACTCTAGTGTGCATTGCGCATGATCAAGGAGGATGGCAAACATAATAAAAATTGGAAGCAACGTGGTTCCGACTTTAAAGGCTGCGTTTTAGTAATTTGGTAGTGCTCACAGAGAACTGAAGTATGCTCATACTCCAGCAACATGACATGTCTTGATTGCGTGGAAGCTGCGGAACTAATGAATTAGGCGCTGAAGTTGGAACGGTTCGTTGATTTGCTATTTTACATTGTTGCAGATAATCAAAAGAGGGTGTGCCATCTCCATGAGCTCCAGAACCTGGGTGACCTCAAGATTTTCAGGGCGGATCTCACTGATGAATCGAGCTTCGATGCTCCTATAGCTGGCTGCGACTTCGTCTTCCATGTCGCGACCCCGGTCAACTTTGCTTCCCAAGACCCCGAGGTATGTAATAAGTGCATAATTTGGGGCTTACTGGAATTTCCAATGAGACGTTTTATTGGTTCTGAAACAGCATTTGCTCTGATTTTACAGAATGACATGATCAAGCCGGCAATCCAGGGAGTCCTGAATGTCCTCAAAGCCTGTGCTAAAGCGAAGACGGTGAAACGCGTCGTGTTGACTTCATCAGCAGCTGCAGTTTCAATCAACAATATTCAGGAAACGGGTTTGGTCATGGATGAGAAGAACTGGACAGACGCCGAGTTCTTGACCGCTGTGAAGCCGCCTACCTGGGTAAAATCAGTTGGCCATAGATGCAGATTTGACTTTTGAGCTGTTGAAGAAGACAAATTGAAATAGATGGGCCTTTCAATTTCACTATTTTCAGGGGTACCCTGCTTCCAAGATGCTGGCGGAGAAGGCAGCGTGGAAATTCGCGGAGGAAAATGATATCGAACTTATAACTGTCATCCCAACCCTCATGGCTGGCCGCTCTCTCACTCTGGATGTCCCCAGCAGTGTCTGTCTCGCAATGTCTCTGCTAACAGGTCCGAAACCGTCCACAGTACTATAAGTTCGCTCACTTGGGAGGCCGGACAGGACCGATCCCATGTCGGAACAAAACTAATCACAGAAAAGCACAAGAGAAGCGTGCTTGTCCTAATGCCTCTGATATTTCTTTTTACAGGAAACGAGTTCTTGATGAACGGCCTGAAAGGCATGCAAATGCTGTCGGGTTCTATTTCCATCGCGCATGTTGAGGACGTCTGCCGCGCCCACATTTTCGTGGCTGAGAAGGAATCTGCTTCTGGGCGATACATCTGCTGCGCTGCTAACACCAGTGTTCCAGAACTCGCAAAGTTCCTGAACAAAAGATACCCGCAATACAAAGCCCCAACAGAGTAAGTCACTACCAATGTTGATCAAAACTTTCTGGTATATTTGTATGCACAGGTTCTGGACATCCAATGATCCAATCTGGTTGTCGTTCTGATTTTGGGCCGATTGCCGCATGCAGATTCGGGGATCTCCCATCCAGGCCCAAGTTGATAATCTCTTCAGAGAAGCTAATCAAGGAGGGCTTCACCTACAAGTACAGCATTGAGGACATCTATGACCAATCTGTCGAATACTTCAAGGAGAAGGGACTGTTGCAGGTGTAGTAATTTCTGTCGGCACTGCGGTTTCTGCATAAATCAAAGCAATGCTTGACCGGGAAGATGATGAAAGAATAACAGGTCATTGAGATCTATCAGTGAGCTTGTTCTAATTGAATGATGCATGGATATGAATCGAAAAGTGTAGCTCTTGCATCTTTCTTAAACCATGAACTGGGGGAGATTGCAACAAGTCATCTTTTAGTTATCCCCGAATGTTTGCTTTAGTGGCTGCGAACTTAATAAATGATGCCACGTTTCAAAATGGGACTCTTTACTAAATGCAATGTATCTGTTGGTTCTGTCAGAGAAGTTGAGTTACCTCTACTGCATCCGTGAGCTTAGTTTGTCACTTTATCTTTCGTGGTAATCGACAATGACACGATATGTGTAACCACGATAATATGCATCCTGATTCAGAACTTTGTGAATAACCTCCGAAAATCAAACACAATGAGAGGAGACACAATATGAAATGAAATGAATCACATGCGAAATTATAGAAAATCCCCTTTAAGATCAAACAATTCTATCGAATTGAGTATGCTTATACGTGTGATAGCATCTACTATACCAGGAATATCAATGAACCATATTATCGCAATTGCTCCAATTATCCTGTTTTAGAATTTAGAGTTTAGGGTTTATCAGAATAAGTAGGCCCAACAAATTCGAAGCTAATTCCTAAACCATCGATTATTTCCTGAAAGCGATGTCCTAGCGTCTAGCAGGTTGATGAATTGGTAGCTCCAAGTTCTAAGTTCTGCTTGCATAAACATAAAGGCGCAAAAAGAGATCAAGTAAAAGTCCAGCTCTGTCAATCCCACAGGCCCTCCCTTTCTGTGCATTCCTGCCTGAGATCCACCGCATTATTTTGCATCTATCTATATAGTTTGGACAAAAGGCTTCGGACAATCTCAGCACATTTCAATCTTTTATGAGGTCCAATGTCTTCCAAGTCCTAACTACAGTGCTGGATTCAATTCTTCTCATTAGTACTGAAGTGACATTACAATCTTTCGAAGTATAGGGAGGGCCGTTGTGGGATAGAGAAGTCCAAAAGATTAGAGGGAGCCCATGAAGATGGCCAATGATGTTCTTAAAGGCCCACCTTTTGGGATTTAGGCCGACCATAAGCAATCATAGAGCTCAGTTGGGCAGCGGGCCGTAGATCTTATTGTGGTCTCTAGGCTCCCTCCTAAGCGAACCATGTGGCGCCACGTGAGACATACTAAATCACTGATTGTGATTTGCACGATTCGGCTAGGTGAAAAAGTTTCGAGAACCAACCTCCTAAAAAGCATAATATGCCTTCCCACAAGTGTGAACCATGCGAAGGACAGGGTAAAATGACAAATTATACTTCAAGTTTATATAAATGAAACATATGAAGATCGAGGTGACCATGGCTTGGCGGCGTGGATGGGCTGCGCCATTCCCGATCAACCAAAAGGGCAACATGGGCAGGCCTAGGCTAAAATTCCGTTCTTGAACCAAGACCTACCCACTTTAGGCCGCCCAATCAATGTTACGTGGAGCAGTGAATAACTTTTCATCATTGGGATTGTGATAGGACGTTGTGTAGTAGGGGTGTCCATTGGTCTAGTCCAACGCAGGAATCGGATCAGATCGTATCAAATCGGCTAGTTCCAGGGAGTTAATTTGGGAATCAGTCGGTATCCCAATTCTTGGAGAGGAACAGGACCGATTGGACCAAACCTGCAGAACCCACCCAAAGAATATTAGTTTTTGAATTTTTTTCTTCAGTAAGGGCAAAAAGTACATATTATTTGTGGGAGTAATCTCTTCAACTACTAGTAACTTCCCGTGATTAGTAATTTCGTCATACGCTAAAGAAACGTTCAATATATTTAGGAACTTTTGAGAAATAAAATAAAAATTTAAAAAAATTTAGGTTTATTTACACTGATATGACATTCATAGCAAATAATAGACATAATAATATGTGAAAATATATGGATTTATTACTGTGATTCACTAAACAGTAAATAAGATATAGCAAATTCCTTGAATTTCATATCATGTCCTATCTAATTCTATCATGACTAAAAATCCAGACGACCAAACGCAGCCTAAGATTTTACCTAATCAAAGTCCAGGCAATAGATAGAGATGTGCTGGGATTCATATGTGCTATAGATGCAATTTAGTATCTAAGAACAACTAGTCAAAGTCCAAGCTCATGTATTGTATGTGCAAATTTGTATCTAAGATTAAGTAGCCAAATTCCGGGCTGTTGAAAATATGTCTGAAGTTTGAGTCCAAAAAGAAAACTTTTTAAATTTAAATAGGTTTCCTATTTGAGTAGTTACCAAGTTTGAGCAGGTTTCTTTTTTTGAATCCAACTCTTGTCTATATATAAGAAGTGTGGCTTCCTGTGAAGAGTATCGAATGGCGATTTCTTCGTGAATTACACCCCGAGAGTTTTTAGTGTTGAATCAAATTAAATCTTGTAAGTAAGATTTGTGAATTCTTTCGTGAGAGTGAGAGATAATTTCATGAGTAATTGTAAGGCTAAATACTGTGTGCGGTTATTAGTGTAATTAGGGGGCTGAGAAACACTGAAAATATTTGAATGACTTGAGTGTGGTTGTAATATTTGTTATATCGCTTGATCTATGTTGGAATTTTTTGCTGCTATCCCCGTAGATGTAAGTCATATCACCGTTCGATTTATTTTACTCTTCTATCGATTGTAGCATTCGATCGCTTGTTTCAGCAACACAAGCAATGAAGATATGTGTTGAAATTCGCATGTATTATAGTTGCAAATTGATAACTTAGATTAACTATTCAAAGTCCAAACACATGTAGGTTGGCGGCTTGAATCCAACCCAATTTGAGGTTGAGCGGTGGTGGCGCTTTGCACCAAACCTGATTCGCAATGTAGAGATAGTTACAGCGGAGTAGAAACTCACTTGTGAAGACCGAAGTCCTTGGAGTCGAAGTCATTTCTCTAAATGCAAAGTCATTCTCTCACATCTCTCCCAAACGTAACCAAAGTGTTGTAATATTAACATGGAAACTAACATGATCTTGCAATTAAATCAATGCGAGAGAATCGGAGAAATAAACAAGGAACGATAAATGATACCATAAATTTAAGTGGTTCAGTGTGAGTGTTGGAACCTACTTTACAGGGAGAGCCAGCAGTAAATAATCTACTATAATCGGAGAATCAGATTTATAATTACTTATACGCTTGAGTGTTTTTCACACCCGAATTATACACAAGCTCAAATGTTTACGGATAAATAACTCAATTGGGCGTAAAACTCGTAGCCGCCAAGTGTTGAAACCCCAAAGCAAAGGCTTTGCGTACGGCTATCCAAGACAACGCACGCTTCTTTATCTTTTTCCCTTGTGTGTCATCCAAAAGGAGAGCTAGAGAAACGGCCACAAAGAAAGAAATAGATCCCTTTCACGGTCAAACCCACGTTGACCGACCACTATTCAGAAAAGAAGTGATGTCTACTTTTTTTTCTTTCCTCTTGCACAAAGACTTCTTTTCCACCCCATAAATAAATAAATATTTATACACTAAGGCTCCGTTCATTTGGCGGAAAATATTCTCCTTTTGGAAAATATTTTTCCGGAAGTCATTTTTCTGGAAAATGTTTTCCCGGAACATAATTTTCCGGCGTTTGGCGATCAATATGAAAAAGTTTCGGAAAATATTTTTCGCCGGCGACCGGTGGCGGCCGGCGACCGTGACCGGGGCGAGCGGCGGGCGGCGGTGGCGGCGGGCGACCGGCGGCGGCGGCGGGCGGTGGCGGGCGGGCGGCCGCGGCGGCGGCGGCGACGGCGGCGGCCGGCGGCCAACGGCGGTGACCGCGATCAACTTCCTCTCCCGCGGAAAACATTTTCCCTCCCATGGGCAATTTTGCCTTCAATTTGGGGGAAAATGATTTCCTCTTTGTGAAAAGAGGAAATCATTTTCCTCAAAACAATGAAGGATTTGGGGGTGGGGAAGGAAAATGTTTTCCCACGGAAAACATTTTCCGCCCCCGAACACCGGAAAACGCAGAAAATGTTTTCCGGAAAAATGTTTTTCCGCAAATGAACACAGCCTAAGGATGTGCTCGTTCCGCGAAAAATAAGTAATTTATAAAGTATTTTTCGAAAAATGATTGCTTATATCGTTTAGAAAGATTAGTCAATAGAAAATATTTTCATCATCGATAATAATCTATGCTTGACTATTTTCGTGGGTGATGAAAAAATTTTCCATTCATTCATTTGTCTAAACGATATAAGCGATTATTTTTCGGAAAATATTTTTCAAATCATTCATTTTCTGCCAAGCGAACGCACCTTAAATGAGCCTCTTATGTTGTCCTGTAGTGGCAGAGAGCTTCCTTCTTTCTTGTGCAGATATAATTGTAAGACCCTTCGTTGCAAACCAGTTAAGGAAACAACTTCATTAAATTAATACTAATCCAAATAAAAAAGTTTTCTAACAAAAAAATAAAAAAAATAAAAAAGTGTATACGGGCTCAAACTCCAGACATAATATGACATTAAGCGTGACAACGAATATGCAAAACAGCCCTTCACTGGTTAACATCATATCTTCAAGATCATTAGGCTGATCATATAAGGCTAAGATATGGCTCAACTAATTAAAGACCTTTTTCCGAACACGTATATTCCCAACTTAGAATTAAAATTAAGAGATTAATTAATTGACCACTCAGTTCCATCTTTATAAAACCTGACTTTACAACTTATTAAATAAGATGTAATTGAATTGTTGAGCCGCTGACCGCATATTTGTTGGGATTTTGGAACCAAAATCCCATAGAATTGAATGAGAAGTGTGTGGGTGAAAGTGTCCCACATAGGGTAGAAGAGAGATGGGAGATGGGTTCAAATAGTTGAGCCTCACAAATGGGTTTGGGCCCCAAGGGGTACCCCACTTTTGTGGAAGAGAGAGGACCTACGTCAAGCTAGGTCGGTCCACCTCCCGCGCGCCGCCGCCGCCGTCCGTCCGGCCGGTTCGGTTCCGGGTCCACTCTCTATCGGTTTTTATTTTTTTCGAACAGACACGTTGTTTAGAATTTATTTATTTGGACAAATAAACATGTATGTTCGTGAGGTTCGGTTCGCCCGAACAGAAAACCGAAGCCCTTCTCGCGACTGTTCATGAACCGAACCGGTTCAAGCGAACCTTCGCTACTATTCACGAAAACTCGCGACTCTTCATTTTTCGTCACTTGAATAAGACCGAACAGTTTAGTTCGGAATACAAATATCACTTTGTGGCATTCATTTTTTCCCGACGCACTCTA